AGGTCATATCTCCTATAAAGGGGAAGAAGTAAGCTGCTCATACCAACTATGACAAACATCACTAATTTTCAGCTTTGGTTAGTTATATGGATAGTCTATGAAGATCCAGCTATTCTTTTTTCTATTTTGGAATGAAGTAGCAAAGTACTCATGGAACTGATATAGCAATCATGAAGAACAACATTTCAACATTTTCATAAGCATTTCTAGTTTTCACTTTAGCTTCAATGAAAATTTCTTTATAAAAAAGAATCAGGTGGTGAAAAAGAAATGGAGAGAAGGTTGGAGAGACTATCTGAATCTGAACTGTGCCAGTTACTTCATCATATGAAGCCCAGAAAGTCCTTAAAACAAGCAGCCGTGGAGGTGTCAATCAAAGTCACCACATGGCCCACATGAATGGGTAGGAGGCCAGGAAATCAAGTGGCTCTCTATGCATCTTGCTTATTTTACAGTTAACAAAGATCATGGCAGAAGAGGAGCCAAATTCCCTGTATTCCTAATGAGAAAGAATAAAGGAGATGCTCTATGATGCACTTACAATGTTGTAGAGGATTCCAATGTTGAGGATTAACTAGCAAATGAAGTCTATCCTCAGAAGAGAGTCCTAGAGCAATCCTGGGCTTCTCCTATCTCATCAAAGTGGGGAAATGTGCACCTGCTTTTGGTATTGCAGATTCTGTCAATGAAGATGGCCTTAGCGACAACCCCATAGATGACATCACTACAAAGTTCTGCTATGGAAAGGATTGCAAATTTTCCATTTTGTAAAACTCTATTTATACACTGAATCCTGGTTTGGCATGGTTTTCTCCTCAGGTGACCTATGAACCTGGTTGCCTGGAACAGGAATGCTGTCCCTTACTTTCCCAGAGCTCTGGGTTTCCCTTCCTAGGAAGGAACTTGGGTTGTAACCTCTCCTGGGAGAAGCAGGGTGGCCCAGAGAACTTCTGTTGCTAATAATTTCCAAATGTTCCCATTCAACTCTACTGGAGAATGGGAAGATTATGGAGGACAGAGAGGAGAAATAATTATTTTGCTGAATAATGACAGTCGTAAGGCCCTGGGAAGATGATATTACCTATACTTTCCTGCTCAGGAACACTTCTTTCCTGAGCATTCTAGAGAAGGATCACATTCAGAAGAAACATAGCTGCTATAAGATAGGTAACCCCACAAGACTCCACCTTGGCAGGCTGATGATAAACTGCACCTGTGACTGACACCTGTGCACTCACTCCAGAGGATGTATAAAAATGCAAGACAGTGAAGGTGGCTTTATCATACAAATACTTCTAAGTATTTTCTATGTTGTTTTTTTAAAGTAAATTATTGGAAAACTTTAGTATTTTATTGTTTAAAAACAAGTTCCTCAGCCACACTGCAATAAACAAAGTCAACCAATAAAAATTAGTTTCTTTTCTACAATTAACGTATGAAAAGGAAATTATAAAACAATTCCATTTATAATAGCATAAAAAATATCAATTAACTTAACCAAGTGGTGGAAGATTTATACTGAAAACAGCCAAATATTGCTGAAAGAAATTAGGGAAGATATAAATAAATGGAAATATGTACCATGTTTATGGATTGAAAGACTTAACATTGTTACAATGTCAATAATACCCAAAGTGATCTGTAAGTTAAGGCAATCCCTATGAAAATCCCATTGATGCTCTTTGCAGAAAGAGAAAACCCAATCTAAAATTCAAAAGGAATCTCAAGACATCCTGAAGAGAAATCTTGAAAAGAAGAACCAAGCTGGAGGATTCCCACTTCTCAATTTCAAAACTTATTTACAAAGGAGCAATAATTAAAATAGCGTGAAACCAGCATAGAGTCAGACATAATGAACCAATGGAATAGAATAGACAAGCTGGAAATAAACATACATATGGTAAAATAATTTTGACAAGGGTGCCAACATCATTTACTAAGGGAAAGGTGATTTTATCAAACAAATACTTCTAAGTATTTTTTCAACAAAAAGTACCAGAAAAACTGAATGCCTGTATGTATTAGGATAAAGGTGAACTCTTGTCTAATGCCGTGAACAAAAATTAACTTCAAAAGGATCAAAGACCCAAATGTAAAACCTAAAATTCTTAGAAGAAAATATAGGGCAAAACTTTCGTAGCATTAGATATGGCAATTTTGAATATGACACCAAAGACTCAAATAATAAAAGAAAAAACAAATTAGATGTCACCAAAATTAAAAACTTTTGTATATAAAAAGACACAATCAAGTAAATGAAAAATAACCCATAGAATGGGAGAGAATATTTTCAAATTACATTAAGGGACAAATGTCCAAAATAAATAGAAAACTTCTAAAACTGAACCATAACAACAACAACAAAACAGTCTAAACATGGGCAACAAATTTAACAAATATTTCTCCAAAGAAGATATAAAAATGGTCAAAAATCACATTAATAGATTCTCAGTGTCACTAATCCTTAGGGAAATGCAAATCAAAACCATAATGAGACACTACCTCACATCCATTAAGATGGCTACCGTGAAAATAAAAATAAAAACAAAACAAAACAGCAAGTGTTGGTGAGGATGTGGAAAAATTGGAATCCCTGGATACTGTAAGTAGGATAAAATGATACACTCACTGGAAAATGCGTAGCAGTTCCTCAAAAACTTAAAAAATAGAATTACCACACAATTCAGCAATTCTTCCTCTGGGTATATAGCCACAAAAATAGAAAACAAGTATTCAAAAAGATATTACATCCATGTTCATAGTAGTATCATTCACAGTAGCTAAAATGTGAAAGCAACCCAGCATCCGCCAACGGATGAATGGATAAGCAAAATGTGGTCTACACATACAATGGATGGCTTTACATACAGCCTTGAAACAAGGGAAATCTACATCCTGCAGCAGGGATGAGCCTCGAGGGTAGAATGCTGAGTGAAATACACCAATCACAGGAAGACAAATACTGTACGATTCCACTTACATGAGGTATTTAGATTTTGTCAAAATCATAGAGACAGAAGGTAGAAAGGTAGGTGGTATAAAGTAGAAGGGGAAGAATGGGGAGTTATTGTTTAATGGGTCCCGAGCTTCATTTTACAAAATCAGAAGAGTACTGAAGATGGATGGTGATGATGGTCGCTCAACATTATAAATGTATTTAATACCACTGAACTGTACACTCAAAAATGGTTAGGATGATAGTTTTTATGTTGTATGTGTTTTTACTCTAACAAAAAATTGGAAGGTGGCACATGTCTGTAATCCCAGTGCCTCAGGAGGCTGAGGCATCAAGATCGCTGGTTCAAGACCAGTTTCAGCAACTGAGTGAGGCCCTAAGCAACTTAGCAAGACCCTGTGTCAAAATAGAAAATAAAACAGGGTTGGGGATGTGGCTCACAGGTTGAACACCCCTAGGTTCAATCTCTGATACAAAAAAAAAAATTTGGAAAATAGGTAAATAAATATCTCATGTTATACCTGTCAAATGAAGTGAGAGCCTAGATCTAGGAGAGAGCAACTGGAAAATTTCTTTTACCCAAAAGATGTTCCCGGGAAGGCAATAAGTGAACTTCTGCCACTCAACTCTTGCAGCCCAGTGCTGAGTAAAGCTGAGCAGGCCTCTGAGACGCTCTTAATCTAAGTGCTGTCTGTGGCTTGCAGGTAGAAGACAATGGAGGGGGTCTAACATGAAAAGACACAGTGTGCCTTTTGACCATCAGGGCTGGCAGAACCGGCCTCATCTGGAGGCTGGTGAGACCGGCAGGATCTCCCTGAATAAAAAATCTTCATTTTAGTAAAATCCCATTAATGTGTGTGCACTTTGAAGTTTGGGAAGCAATGTCCCCATGAAATGACCATTTATAAATTCATCTCCACTTAAACATCTCTCCTCTACTACAAAATCCCTATGACAATCAGTCTTTCCTCTGGGCATCAAGTATAAAAAGGCAATGTAAAGCAAGCCGGCAGCCCCATGAATTTGCCAACCTTGCAAAAAATGCAGATTTCACAGGATCAACAGCATAGTATCAGGGAACCTCACAAATCACACACACTGTGGCCACAAGCAAGGGACTGGCAGACTGAGACCTGTCACCCAGTGAAGGGGAGCTAAGCCAGAGGCATGATGACATTCCTTCAAAAGAGAATGATATGAAGGGATTAAGACAGGCCCTTGTGGGGGGAGGAGGGAATAAGTATCTTTATAAAAATGACCTACTTTATGACTGTACTCTGAAAGTCCAACCTAATTTCATCAAAAAACTACTTTAAAATAATTCAACACTCTATTCAATCTTTCATCATTCTGAGAAGGAGCACATTGTGTACTTATGGTTTAAGTTGTATTCCATAAGAGAGATTTTCATAAGTTTTAGTTCTGTTTTGTTTCTTTGAGACAGGGTCTTGCTATGTTGCCCAGGCAGACCTTGAACTCCTGGGCTTCTGAGTACTTGGAACTACAGGTGTGAGCCACCGTGACTGGCTAGTCCTGTTTTCAAAATGAAGTCTAGTCAAAAACTTTCTGTTGGTGTTTATCATGATGTCTGGCCCTTGTTTTAAGAGGATTCGTGCTGAGTGGACTTTCCAGTGCTGGTTTCCCCTCAACAACACTTGCTCAAGAGGAATCCTTACTATGGCATATTCATTTTTCTTTTCCTTTATGGGACTTCTACTTTTTATTATTACGTGTTAACAAAGTATAGCTGTCCATATGTATTACGTCCAAAACAATGTTATGATTTTTTTAAGATAAGGTGGAAAGACCAGTTCAAGCTGACCCACCAGGTGACCCCTCGCCTCCGACATTTGACATCTCCTGTGGCAGAAACCTCCTTATGTCCCTTCTTTTTGGTGCCTGTGGCCATTGTGGGATAATTGATACCAACTCACTCCACAGCTCAGTGAAGAACTCTTCTCAATGTTCTATTTCCTGATTAAAAGGGGTTTTTATTCTGTGGGGTGACCGCCAAAGTGCACATGTAGACTGAGTGGCTGATTACCTTATCCACCATGAGGAAATTCTCCAGTTTCTCTCCATTTTCACAGGTGACATCACCAACCTCTCTTACGGCTCTGGGCAGGATCTCTTGCACCTCCTGGGCAATCATTCCTGTGTACAAAACACTCCAAAAGTTTTAATCCACAGCAGACAGACCTTCCAGGAGAAAAAGCTCCAGGTCTGTATCAGAATAGAATACTGATGGCCATGGGGCATCTTTGGAAATAGATTCTTATCCCTTCTCAGTTTTCACTTTGATCTACAATACATTTGAGGCAAAGAAAGTCTGAGCCAAGAACCACTACAGGATTTAAAGTAGGAATGTCATTTTCTCTGCTTTTTTTTTTTTTAAACTCTGCCAAATATTGGAAAGGTTAACTAAACACCTTAAAATCTCTGTACATACAAGGCAGGGTGGGGCATTGGCTTGATTTCCTTTTTCTTATAGGTCTTTGCTCCTAAATGTTCCTTTCCTCTTTAAGATTCCTGGGTGGAGAGCACACATCACTTCTTACTCTTTCTCTTACCTAGACCCACTCCACCTCCTCTCTCCATCCCAAGACTGCCCCATGCTATGCCTCCCACAGATTGAGCTGCTATCTGCCCCTAAACCCTCATCTCATGAGCAAGAGGACTCCAAGAAAAAGAAACAACACATTCAAAATACTCCACCAGAACCTTGGGTTGCAAAAGTGTGGGTGTTTTGTAAAGATGACACAGGAATCCTTTAACCTTTCCTATGCTAGTGACTATGGGTTTCACAGAAGGTGAGTTACATCATCAGGGTGTTGTCAAATGCAATAGCACACAATCTTAAATAAAGAGAGAATTAAAAATTTAATAGCTGACAATCCAAAATTAAAATGGGAATTTTTGTGTGTACCTGTTTGATGGGCAGTGTTTATTCCCATTGCAGATGCAAATTCAGGTTTGTAATCATATTCAACAATCCTCATTTGTGCTATTCTTCTCAGCTGTTCATTTGTGTCAACCTAATTTAATTAAAGAGCAGATTTCACCGTTTAGATATTTGCTATTCAAATCAATGCCCAGAGTGACACAGAGAAATTCTGGAATATTGACAATGGCACTGTTCTTCTCTTCCAAATGAGTTTAAGAGGAATTTCTGGATTTCTCAGAGAAGCCAAATTTTTATGGTTTATATTAGTGATTTCCATTTAATGACTAATAAATGAATCCAGAGTTTTTGAGCTTAAATTTCAGGGTAAATGCTCCATTATTACTGCTCTTGCCTTACTTCTCTCCTCTGAGTAGGGAACCCTCTCTGAGAAGAGCTTCCTTACTTAGAGAAAAACAAATGGCTATTCACAATCACAAGGAATCATTTTCAAAAGAGTGCACAGATTCATAGCAAAAATTGTATTTATAAATTGAAAATGCAGTTCTTAGTTCTAGTTCTGACCTTTAGGTATAGATAGCATTCTCATCTCAGGTTTATTCTTTCCACCCCACCCCTCTCTACATCTTTTTCCAACTCTTAAAATTATTAAGGTATGTGACAACTATGAGTTGAGCACCCACAACATGCAAGGAGTTGTACTAGAAATTGGTCACACAGTGATGCACAGAAAACTATGGTCTCAAGTGTGTCTTCATTCATTAGAAGTGTGTCTCCAACAGGGAAAACAGAGGACAGAGTGGACATAACTAGTTGTCTGGTGATAACTGTGACTGGCGCCATGATACGAGCAGGGTGATGAACACATAAGAGCAAAGGGACACTTCCTAGTCTTGAAGGCCAAGAAATCTTCTGAGGAAGGGGTATGGGGGGACCATACTGGGGGGAGTAAGATGTTGGGCTTTTAAGGCAGGGTCAATGGCACAAACAGAGATCCTCAAGGGAAATCAGAACATATTTGAGGAACCATAATAAGTCAAGATCTTGGTTGGACTTGACCATCTCTAGGAAGCCTCCCCTCCTATATCATTGAATTGCTTTTGAACATTTTGCTGGAGAAAAATTCTCCAAGTGGTTTGAAAACCTGGTTTAACCAACCACGAGTCCTTGTGGACCCAGAGCTCCCCATCCCTCTGAGATCTGGGGAATGATGGCATCATTCTCTGAGATACGTGTTCTTATGTCTAAAGGTATTCTCAACTCACAGTGAGGTACTCAAAAAAATATCACTTGACCTCAGAAAAAATGATAACAAATCAAGAAAATAGAATAAACTTTCCCCAAAGTTAAATGTGTTTGAATAAAAGGATTCCCCTTTTGAGTTTTTTATTTTTATTTTTTAATGAATTGATGAAAATAGCAGGAACATTATCTAATGCCCTTATCTGGCAAATAAAAAACTGGCAGCTCTTTGTCCCCCAAATTTACTTATAAAACCAATGGTGTTCTGGCAATCAAAATATACTGCCTGGGGCATCCATCCATGTGATAGAATAATCAAAAATGCTTTTGGTAGTTGCTGGGTTTTTAAAATTTTTTTTTAGTTGTAGTTGGACACAATACCTTTATTTTATTATTTATTTTCATGCGGTGCTGAGGATCAAACCCAGCACCTTGCACATGCTAGGCAAGCACTCTACCGCTAAGCCACAACCCCAAGCCCCTATAGTTGCTGTTTTCAGAAACCCTGCCATGACTGTCAACTTCTCCCTTGACCACCCCACGAGGTGGCAGGACAGCTCCTCTACCATCAGTTAGGACTCCTAGACCTTCATAAGTTTGGCTGGTTGTGAAGACAGTGGCTAGCGACTAATTGGCTAAATGGACTAGTTTTACCTAGTTTTATCCAGGAGTATAATTTTAAGCAAACCACTGTTTTTATAATGACTGTTATCGAGAAGTAAATTCCATTCATTTATTATTAGTTTGATTCAACCAATATTTACCAATCACCTTGGACATATTATGACTTATTAAGTGTTGGGACTTGAAAAAAATGATTGTCTTTTAAAAGTCTGTGGCTTCGACAGGAAAATAAGCATATCACAGGATTATATTACAATGGAAGAAATGCAGGCAATGATGGAATTATGATCAGTAAATCAGAGATGTTCCAAGGTACCCAAAATATTTTTAGGAGATCAAAATGAGAGGCTTCCTAGAGATGGTCAAGTCCAACCAAGATCTTGACTTAATATGGCTCCTCAAATATGTTCTGATTTCCCTTGAGGACCTTTGTTTGTGCCATTGACCCTGCCTTAAAAGCCCAACATCTTACACCCCCATCTCCCCCATACCCCTTCCTCAGAAGATTTCTTGGCCTTCAAGACTAGGAAGGGTCCCTATGCTCTGATGTGTTCATTGCCCTGCTCGTTTTCATGGCACCAGTCACAGTTGTCACCAGACAACTAGTTATGTCCACTCTGTCCTCTGTTTCCCTGTTGAAGACATACCCCATGAGAATGAAGACACACTTGAGACCATGATTTTCTGTGCATCACTGTGTGACCAATTTCTAGTACAACTCCTTGCATGTTGTGGGTGCTCAACTCATAGTTGCCACATACCTTAATAATTTTAAGAGTTGGGAAAAGATGTAGAGGGGGTGGGGTGGAAGGAATGAACCCAAGATGAGAATGCTAGGCAGAGAGAACACAAGAAACCAAGGCCCAAGGCAGCAAATCCCCTGAAAGATGTCTACACAAGGCCGAGTGTGTCATTAAGAATGTGATCATAAAGGTGGAGGCCAGAGCAGGGAGGGCCTTCCAGGTCAGGTAAAATACGGTAATCACAATTTTACATTATGGTCTGCACATGTGTCCCTGTGAGCTCCTTTACTCATTAAACAAATATTTATTAAGTAGCTACTATGTGCTGATACTATCCTCAGTACTGGAGAGTCAATGAGTACTTCTTATTTGGAGCTCATATTTTAATAAATGTTCTCTTCCTTGGGGTCAGGTCTGTGTCTTACTCATTTCAGGGCCTGTGCAGTACCTAACAAAGAGTCTGAAAAAATCTTCAATGGAGAAAGAAAAAAAAAAAGAAATAGAAAGAAGGAAGGTAGTGACGTGGAAGGACAATTACTGACAGAATTGAAGAAAGGGGCCGAGCGTGGTGGTGCATGCCTGTAATCCCAGCAGCTCCCGAGGCTGAGACAGAAGATCGAGAGTTCAAAGCCAGCCTCAGCAAAAGCAAGGTGCTAAGCAACTCAGAGAGACCCTGTCTCTAAATCAAATACAAGATAGGGCTGGGGATGTGGCTCAGGGGTTAAGTGACCCTGAATTCAATCCCTGGCACCAAAGAGAGAGAGAGAGAGAGAGAGAGAGAGAGAGAGAGAGAATGAATTTAAGAAAGGGGGTCAATCAGGAGCTATCTAGGACTGGCCTGGCACTATTTACCCAAGTGTACACCCTCTGAGGCCCTGGCAGTCCTGTGCCCTCTTCTCATTATCTCCTGGATCCTGCACAGCCTGCATGAACCCCCACAGAGAATAACATGGAGGCAGGGTGGTCTCCTTTCTTGCAGATGGAAAGCCAAAGAGGCTGTGCCCTTGCTCAGCCTGTCCACACCACAGAGAGGGAAAATGGCTCTTGATTTTTAACATGGATCCTTGACTATATTTCCCCCAAAGACATTGCTAAGAATCATAGTCATGGCAATTGGGTTCTCTAGTACTTTACCATGCTGTCTTAAATGGATTTTTAGCCAAAGAAAACGTTGAGGGTTAACTCGGAGAACTGAACACCTTATAACATTGTTCTTCAAAGAATACCTCTTCGGATTGCTAATGCTGGTTTATGAACTTCCCAAAGCCAAATATTGACAGCCCGGATTGCCTGTTCCCCTTGTGTCCAGTTGAAAAACCCTTGAGGCAAGAACTGTGCCTTCTCGGCACAGGAGCCCTACACAGGTGAGCATGTAATGCACCAGTGTGTGTTGAGCAAGGAGCTTGGAATTGGGTATTTGATGTGATCTTGCCCACAGCAGCTTTGGAAAGTTTTGACCACAAAAGAATTGGCTGCCATCATCGGGCTGTGTCACATCCAAGGTCTCTTTGTCATAAACTCAAGGACTGCATCACAGAGAACTTTCAGGCCACAGGACTCCCATGTGTTCAGGGAAGGTGGTCTCGGGCTCCATGAGTTGGTCAGGGTCTCAGCCTGGCCCAGCCTGGAGCAGGAGCAGCATGGGGGACACCAGCTCACCAAGCTGAGGAGCTTCTGCACTTGGCTTGTGGCCCGGGGGGAGATTTTGCATGCTTGACTCTCTTAAGCTTTTCACATGTCCAATTTTGTCCTCAACTAGTACACTGGCTGGTATGCATGGGAGAAAAACAAAACAACCTCTGAGGCTTTCGTCTTAACGGATTTCTTTTTTTAGATTTTATTTTTAAATATCATGCCACAATTTCTTCCACCACAGAATTTGACTGATGCAATTCAGCTCTCAACTTCCTCATGGTTTTTTGTTTTGTTTTGCATTGACATGAATATTCTTCACATCCCTTTGATTTCTGGCTTGACTTTTCAACCTGATTCCACTCAGTTTCCGCTGTCAGAGATTCATTTCCTTCTCCAATCTGCAGTCACGTCAGTAGACACAATGACACTGAGCAAGTTAAACTGCTGCGCCCTCAGGCCGCCCTCATCTTCCCAGTGCTGCAGCCACCAGGGTCTCAGTCACATCTGTGTCTTCTTCCCTGCGTCTTGGATGTGTGCCTGGGTGAACACCAGAGATCTTCCCTTCTGCATCCCACACGCATGTCTGCTCATTCTCCACAAAGCAACTTTTGTTGCCTTGAGTGAGCACACAGTCAGGGCAAGGTAGCAACCTAGACTCATTGTCCCCAATTACAGTATTGATCTACATGCTCGGCCACCATGTTGTACAGCAGCTCATCCACAAGCCAGCTCTAGTGGGCAGGCACCCTTAGAGGAGGAGAAAATGTCTTCAGTCCTCTGCACATAATCACATCAACCAAGGTCAATGCTCTGGTTTGAATTCATGTTGAAATTGAATCGCCATTGTGGTGGAATTAAGAAGCAAGGCACTTTGGGGATATAATTAAGTCATGAGGTCTCTGCCCTTGTGAATGGATTAGTAACTTTTAACAGAGCTGATGGGAAGTAGCTCAGGCCCATTTTGCTCTTCCATCCATTCTACCACATGGGGACACAGCATTGAAGGCACCTCCCTGGCAGCAGAATCAGACTGTCACCAGACACCCATACTGCCAGTAGCTGGATCCTAGACCCTAGAATTGTGACAAATTTCTATTCTATCAACGTATGGTATTTTGCTATAGCAGCACAAATGGTCTAAGACAACTCTTCTCTCAGAGAATTTAGAATAGTCCTCTTATTAAAAGTTGGAAAAACATAGAACAAATTGAAAATTTAAAAAATATAACTAATTAGAACAAATTAATTTTTTTAATTGGGAAAAACTGACTAAGGGAGAGGTGAAGATGAAGCTCACATCACCATGAGCACCATCATCAACATTACCATCATCTCTCTCATCTCTGTAAAACATGGCAAGTGAGACAGATGAGATTTCTGGGAATATACATTTCATAAATGTGCATAGAACTAATATATTAGTATGAAATAATTTAATAAATGAATTACATAGCATGGAGCATTTTGTACAAGCAAAATTAATAATACCGTTTGCTTAGCATTATATGGCTAAAAAAATGCTTCACATATATGACTTTAGAAAATTCCCTTAACATGGGTAAAATGAATATAAGCATTCTCTCTTCACAGATAACAGAGACATAGAATATCTCTGGGCTAAAGCCTTGGACTGGTAGGGTCAGAATAAGTCTCCAATCTTCCAACCATGGACTAGAAATCTCTTTGTTCTATCAGAGTACTGTGAGCAGGAAGAGGATGGAGGAAATTCACATTTAGAATCTGGACTGGGGTGACATTTCATTTTTTATGAAGGCTTCTTTGAAGAGATTTAAGAAGTTCCACAGAAGCTTGTTTTGTTGTTGTTTGTTTTTTCTCCTTCAAACCAAGAAGCAAAACTTGAAGACTTTGGTAAAGGATTCTGTAAGCCTAGAGGACAGTCCCTGCTTATTATATTCCACTTAAATTTCAATGAGACTCCGTAGGGAGTTGTATAGTCAGTTGCAAGGGTATATTTGACTTGCTGTTATCTGAAATGCAGTTCACGTCTCTCTAAAATTCAAAGGCTCAACCTCTAGTACTGATATCTGGAAACATGTGAGAACTTTCTAGTCCTGAGTTCCCAACCAGCCAGCGGGTCACAGCTCTTTTAACATGAACTGCAGCTTCGCAAGCAGTGTGAAAGTCTACAATTACCACCATTCTTTGGAATCCTCTCAGCAAAGGACATTCCTTGGCTGGTTTAGAAAAACCAGTGCAGATTTGCACTGGGAAAGGAATGCAGTCTGGAACAACGGCCAACGATTTACAGATTAGTTCTCCTATTAGCTAAAAAAAGAATGAGGAAAGGAGGTTTAAAAACACAGTTCTACCACAGCCTCAGAAATACTTCTGGGAGGAGTAGTGCAAATACTAAGGCGGGGTAGGGACAGAAGCAGTGAGTGGAAACTGGTGGAAAGACTGGAACCAAGAGAGGCCTGGCCAAGGGATTGGAATCCTCATCCTAATCCATTTGGTTCACACAGCACTTGTAAATTTCCAAGATAGTTATGTACTTATTATCTTAACTGGTTAAAAATTTCAAAAAAGACTCAGGAGGGTCAGGTAGGAAGGCACATTTTCATCTTACAGAAGACCCTGAGTTCAGTGAGGTTAAGTGTTTTATGCAGGATCACACAGCTGGGGAGACTCCCAAGTGGAGCTGTGGCTTCCTGATATATAGGTCTGATTCTGATTTCTACGGGGCTTACTGCCTTTCCACAGAGGGGAAAGGTACCAGATCAGTCTGATGGCCCAGGGGATCTCACCTGGATCCCCTGGGTCATGGAATTCACCCAATAGCTTCTTAACTGCTCCTCAAAGATGATGCAGGGGCCAGGGGTGGGGGGGGGGCAGCGGATAATGGCCAGTAGGGCCAACACCCTGGGAGGAGCAGGCTAGAGAGGTCCAGAAGAAACATGATCCGGAACTGGACTGAGGCCATGCTCAGGCAGGGAGATGGAAAGGAGAAAGCAAGTTTAAGCAGTTGACAAGCATAGAAGGAAGGGCAATGGCCCGTGGAAAACGTCTCTGAACCTTGCCATGTGTGAAGCCAATGACATGCTGTCACTGCGCACTGCTCCTGTCAGGTAAATCCAGTCTCTTGGGTAGGAACTGCTTCACAGTTTCAGCAGAGATACCCAAGAGCACCAACAGTCATCAATTTTAAGCAGCATGCTAGTCTCACAGGCAACACGTAAAGATGCCCCAAGCACGCAGGTCAGAGGCCAGGAGCATGGAGCACACCTGACTAAGGTGTCCGAGGAGGAGCCCTCGGCCTGCCCTGGAGCTCACCTCCTGGATATTCTGCTTCACCCGGCTGTCAGAGGGATGCATGATTGTCCCCATCACTTTCATGTTGCCACCGACAACCAGGGCTTCATCTGGTGCATCTGTGTTTATTCCTACTCGACCATGACAAACAACAGATTCTGGAACTTGTCCTCGCTGCCATAATGCATCACTGTCATTTTCAAACTGCCCAGGGTTAGAGGCCTGGAAAAATATATAAACATAGTACAACCAAAGTTATGGTATCAAGAATACACGATGGTTAGTCTTCGGAGCAAAGGAAATCTTAGGCTTTCACATAAGATTCCTATGTTGGATAGAACATTCTGACATAACGGAATAACTTTAGGGCCCCAGGAGAGCCAGGGAGGCATCTCTAGCCATTTTGACCCCCATAGCAGGGGTTCTATATGCTATGGCTTGGAATATCCCGTCTCTACTGTATTTCTCCGGAATTTAGATTATACCAGGTGGATGGTGAAGAAGTAGAAGAAAACTAAAAATGACTCTTTTTCCATGAATAATAATAACAAAAAATAATGCAACAATCAGAACATTAAATCAGGATGCTTTATAAGTTTATGAAAGTTCAGATAAATAAAAGTAACTTTCATTTAGCCAGCCCTTTGTAGTTTCACCAAAGCACTGATTTCATATGTAAGCAACAAGCAAATGATGATACAAATATATTTAATACACCTCAACTATTCCCTAAACATCGATAGTAATGAAGAATAATAATAGCTACACTTTTGTGTGCTGATCTGCACTGCAATTCCATGATATAGGAACTATTATCCTCATTTTATTGATGCTGACATTCTGAAAGGGTAAAAAAAATTGCCTGAAAACACACAGCTAACAAATCCTGGAGCTATACTTCCTCTGATGAATACATAATGGCGCTAACTTGTCTATTTCATGGTGTGGCCTAGAAGTAGCCTGGGAAATCTTCTAAACAACCAAGTGAAATGATTATGGTAGCCAAAGTTCTGGAGACTTTATCCTTAAAATTCTTTGCCAAAGAATTCTCCATCACACTGTTTTCCTTCTTCCCTGTTTCCCTGCAGCTACTGAGTTTATTTTCAAATAGCTTTATGTAAGGGTCTCTAACTCCCTCAAACTTCTTAAAATTAAAAGATTAATTTGCTTTTAAAATAATGACATATTCTGTGATTTTTGAGCGTTTGTGGCAGGTTATCACACATCCAAACAAACATTTGGGATCCTGATGATTTAAAAAGTCAGTACAAATAGAGTGACTTCACTCTTTGCCTTTCTGGTGGTCATGAGACCCTGCAAGCTAGGCATCTGAGTATGCATGGGTGGTCTCTGAAGCTAATAATGATGGAGACCTAAGAAATCAGGGTGGGAAGGAGATTAACTGTTCACTACATACTCTCTTGGTACTTACTGCTTTACCATAGCCATGTGTTACTCATTAAAATAACTGGAAGAAGTTGCAAAGTTTAGTTCTTAATTTGGTTTCAGTGGAAGAACTTTTCAGGTGTCTTCAACTTCTTATTTCATGCACACCTCTCTGAGCCCTGAGCTGCTTAGAAGACTCATCTACTGACACTTGATAGACAAGAACAGTGAAAGAATATAAAGTAACAACTATGAACATTATTTCTCTGTAAATTCACTTGAACAAAGGGCTTTTCTGCAAGGTCCCTGGAGCCCCCTTGGATGTGAATGGCAAATTGGCTTTGACTCAAATCCTTTTAGAGTGGGCAGCCAACTAAATCCAAAGGTATGCCACATAAAGTGCTGATGTATTTTGCTCTGTGCTGAATATAATGAGCCAATTCAAGGAAACAAAATAGGACAGTGATGGATCTTTTTGTTGATGTTAATGAGCTTTGGAATAATTATTATCATTTTGGTAACTTGATACTGGAACAGCAGATATAAGTAGATTTAATTTTTTGAAACAATTGCAACATTCTCTCTCCTTTGACTTTCATCACATGAAAACTCAAATCCCTAGAATATGTTAAAATCATATTTGAAAAAGGACCAGATTTACAATGTTCTAAATATATAGACCTAGGGAAAGGTCCTCATCAGGAGAGGAAAACTATAAGATCTAGGAACTTATTTTCCCTTCTCTGGAATCCACAATCTTCAAGTGTCAATGCCAACTGTAATGTAGCTTCTCTTTCCAGAATTACAAGCTTGTATTCACATGTGCCCTAATAGTAAATAATGAATATCAAACACCAAAATGAATTCACGAATGTTTCTAAAATATTTTTGTTATTTGTCTCACAGCCTCATTTATTTTGGAAATACCAGAACATTCTTGTCCATGTTATGACATCAACTGGTTATGTGACCTTGGGGCAGTCATTAATCTTTCTGTACCAGAGTACAGGAAAATAAAGATAATCATATACCCATCTCAGGGTTGTTGTGGAATTGATTGAAATCATGCGTGCATGAATAGTTAGCAAAAAATGAGGACAAAGAGTCACAAATGCATCCTCGTCACGCTCCACTAGACAAAGCAATCTCTGTTTAACCTGCAATCACATAATCTGCCCTTGTCAGCAGCAAACCCACAGAGCTGCCCCATTCCCTGGGCAATGTAAAGTAGGCAATGTAAAGAGTGCCCCCTGCAGGTGCTTGGAATAGGAGCCAGCAGTATAGTAACTGAAGTCCTAAAGTCTGGAAAGGATTGGAACTTCTTTGCTTGACCATTGCGTGGGATTCTAAAGCAGCAGCAAGGAGTTAATAGGAGGGCTTGACCTAAGGAAGGCAGCTCTTAGGAAATTGGTTTTGGCACTTTTTAAAGGGGTTCCAAAAATGGGTCTAGAAATGTTCTCCACCAGTGCCATTCAAAGTGTGGTGCACAGGTCAGCACATCAGCACTTCCCAGGAGCTTGTGGGAAATGGGTCTTCTCAGGCATCCTTGACCAGTTAAACCAAAAACACTGGGAGTGGACCCAGGGGGTGGTGTTTGTAGGGGATGCTTACTCCTGATGTGGTTTGAGGACTTTACTCTGTATTTCTGGTTATCCCTTCCACGGCTGACATCTGTGCATGTCCAACCACAGGGCAAAACACACATTACTCCACAAAAACTGATGCCTTTGGTTAAATAAAAATTCATCTAATCTCTAAAAGAGGGATGGGTGGGTGGATGTGTGCGTGTGTGCTAGGAGAGGGAAGGTAGGTCTGTGGTCAGAAATAGTTAAGAGCCAGTGAAAATGAGCTGAGAGACCCAGTTGGCTCTGCTTTATCCCCATCCTTGCAACCACAACGTGCCTCTCATCTTCCCTACCCCTGGGTCTTTTTTGTTTGCCCCTTCAGTTTGGTTTGCAGAGAAGTAAAGGAGGAGGGCTTTGGGGATGTGGCCATTTCTATTATTCTGGGACAGGAACTGGAATAATCTGTTAGTTATCAAAATGAGGAAATCTAAGCATGTCTTTGAAAAGCAGACAAACATAATCTGCCCTCCTGCTGCAACACAGCACTCCAAACCAGGTGTAATTAAGTGTTTCAGAAGGAAAGTGGAGCTGAAGTAAAACCTAGTCATTAACAAAGGAAACTGAAGGAACTCCATTGGAGAAAGGTCCTAAAAACAAAGACCTGGGAAATAAATCTGTTCTCTGGAATAAACCTTAATTTCCATTAAATTGGTCAATTTACACCACAGGAACATAATGTATTTCTAAAGCTGTTTTGATTGACAATGCAGATGAACAATTACTGGGTACTGCCTGCCATTCTCTCTCCAAGGAGAATTGTGACAAACATGGTGTGTCCTTCCTGGACATCTCCTGGAACCTAAATCTCATCAAGGTGTGGCCCTCATACCGTCACCCTCTACCAAAGAGTAAAACATTTATCTCTACCATTTGGAGAAGTGGTCCTTAGTCCACAAAATGAATTTCAATTTGCTAAATGCAGTTTGAGGTTCATTTAATGTAGCCAGGTCCTGTAATTTTTTTTAATTATTGAATTTGTCTTTATTCTGAAGGTCAAACTAACAGAACAGAGCCGTGGCTCTTAGGACCATATTTGACTCTTGTATAGAATATAGACTGATCTGTCCTCTGCCCAAATCATATGCATAGGGAAATGTTTGCTGTGGACACCTCTAAAACTCACTGAATCAAAGAGTAATATCGTTCCTTAAATTCAACTTTTCTCTTGGTTGGTGGTTTAAATATTAATTAAATAGACTGAAATTTCTACATTCATTTTCACTTGTGTGTTTTTTGGAGTTAGAATGAAATAATATCCATGAGATATTTTCAGTTGAGTGTATGAGGGTTTGTGTATCAATATTAGAGTAACATTGTGTTGCCCAACACAACTACAGAATATTCTCTTTAACCAAAAATTATAGCTAGAGAAACACCTTACACTCATCTGTTTTTTTGTTTTGTTTTGTTGTTGTTGTTTGTTTGTTTTTTTAAGAGATACACACGAGAGTTTATGTGTCAGAGCTGACAAATAAAGGCCATCTCTCTATAGGAGAGAGAGGCCCAATCATCTTTTTAAAATAAAACTTTAGTAAATAACAATACACCCGATCTATGCTGAGTGCAATTGAATGATTTTCATATTCATATTGAAGGTGACTTACAGAAACTTTCAACTTCTCAAAGTCATCACATATGCTAGTTGTCACTGTGCTTTGGTATGAGGAGGTGCCAGTTAGCCAAGAGGTTCTGGTTAACAGGAAGCAGAAAACCTCCTCCCTCTCCCTCTCCTTGCTCCTGTGCAATGAGGACTTGTGCAGCTGCAGTTCAGCTTTGCAGGAGCTGCCAGCAGCAAATGGAGAGACCTTGTTGCCAGGTAAATTATTCAAAATATGAAGGTAACTAGTGGCCTGTCTGACTCAGGCACAAGTCACACCGCTCAGAACAGCACCATCACAATACCTGGTCTATGCCAACTTGGAAAATAGTGACACATCATAGGGCATGTTGGTACACACCTGTGATCCAGTGACTTGGGAGGCTGAAACAGGAAAGATTTAAGTTCAGACCAGCCTCAGCAACTTAGCAAGATCATAAAACCGTGTCACAAAATAAATGATGATGATGATGGTCATAATAATAATAATAATAGACTGAGGATGTAGCTCAGGGTAAAGTACCCCTAGATTCTATCCCCAGTACCAAAAAAGTGGGGGGGTAGTAAGAAAGAAAACAATGACACTGTCTTTATTTCTTCCAAACCAACATCAGAAACAATAAGCAATCTCAATTTCCAGACTTTAAATCAGATTTGCTGCAACAGCCAGGGAATCCCAGATTACATCAGATGCCTAAGACACCCTGACCTCTGTGAGGGATGGACAGGCACCTCTGTGCTGGGCTTGTGGCAGGACAGGTCTCTGTCTGCCTTTGCTCAGAGGCACCTCACTTGCCTCAGATGATGTCAAGTCCCCCAAAAAAACAGCCTGGGGCATGTATGGTGGCCTTCACAGGGCCATCCGAACCCATGAGGTGTCGACTCCATATCATTACTTCACCTCCACTAAAACTCTGAGAGGTCATTGAAGGATTTCCACTAATAGGTGGCTTATTATTTTTAATTGACTGAAAGAATTACAGAGGGCCCTTTGTTTCAGAACAGCAGGCAAGGAGAGACACCACTCCCAAGTGGGCAGATCTGTCCCCCAGGGCCTTAGATGAACAGCGTCCCTGAGCATGCCAGCAGCAAAAGACTTTCCCTGCTGGAGTTGCACATCCTCCCTGTATCACTTCAAAAGAGTGATGACAACACGGCCCCTCCCAGGGCTGCCGGGCCTGTGGTTACCTGTTAACTCATGCCCTGGCATTCTCGGCAGTGGCCAGCCTTACCTCACCGCAGCTGCTGCTGCAGCTGCCAACAGCTTGATGTTTGGGTTTGGCTGCCAAGACTCTTGTCCACAGCTGTGATCCTTCTGCAAAACGCATTGAGCCATTCCTATGAGCTAGACAGTGGCCCAGATTCCCTGGGGTCACCAGTTACTTTGGGGCAACTGACAACCCCCCTGGCACTTTGCTCACCCTGTGGGCTTTGGAGTCAGAGAAAGCTGGGTTATAATCCAGGCTCCATCATTACAGGCTGTGGGATCACGGGCCAGTTATTTACCCTCTTGAGCCTCGATTCCTCTGGGCTTCAAGAATATAATGTAGATTGTCTAACAATGTCTAATGATGTCATGTATAGATTGTTTAGTTCAGTGCCTAAAACACAGAGCAAAAATCAGTATTTTTCAATCTCAGGATCATATGCATTTGGGGAAGAATGATTCTTTGCGTAGGGGTTGTCCTGTACATTGTAAGGTGTTGAGCAGCAACACCTTACTAGATGCCAGTTGTGACAACTAAAAATGTTTCCAAACATTGCCAAATGATCCTTAAGGGTCAAAATTGGCCTTGGTTGAGAGCCACTGTGTAAAAACAAAAGTAGTAGTTTCTAATGTTATCATTATCATCATCATTATCATCAATTAAGACATAGAGTACTTCAAGCATGTCATTGGAAATTCAAATCCTTTCTACAAAGGAGAAAAGAAGCCAGGATGCAGAATAATTAGAGAATTGAGCTTACCCTTACAATGATCCTTTCAGAGATATGGGCTGACAACAGATAGAACTGATCTTGGTTAGCAGCATACAGTCCAACCACCAACATGAAGTATCTAGTTCAGAAACAGCAGACCAACATCAACACATCAGGAACAGAGACACAATTCATGCAACAGTTAATCAGTAGTGAACTTACCTAGCTGAGTTTGCTGATTTAGAGACTGTCTTTTCCCTTTTGCTTTAAACTTCGTCCCCAGGTGAAATGAGAGAGCAATTATTTGATTTACATGCTACTGTCCCCCACTTGCCCCATGTCCAGTTGGAGGTGGCTGTGAGCTGTTTTGCAGGCCCTCTGAGGGAAAAGATACTGGCGGGAACATTGGCTTAGCCCGCCTGTGCTGATTTGGCCTCCCTCACCATTCCTGGGCCCTCAGCACAGGACCCCTCACAAACACATCAGGAAGCCACCAGAGGTCCCTGTGTCCAGAGACACACAAGTCACCCTGTCCTGGGCTTGGTCTCAGCTGGACTAGCCCACCATACCCACTCTGACCTCTGGACTGTGCCTCTGGCACCTTCTCAGGTTTTAACTTTAGTCAAAGACCTGAACCTTCCTTCCATTTGCTCTCAAGGCAATTTTCATCTTCTGTATTCCAATTGCTTCTTCAAAACTGATGAGGTGATTTTAAGATTAAACTGTTGCTTGACAATCAAAACAAAGACTATCCCTACTAGAAAAGCTTTGGCTTTAAAAACTGCATGAAAAAAAAAAACTAACAAATTCTTTCATAACACTACATAGGTTCTTTGATTGGTATAGAACAAGAGTCTGCTCATGTATCTAAAATAAATCAGTAAGAATAATAAATATCACAAGTATTGTTATTAACTACTGCCATTGTGAACTCAAAATGTTTCATGCTGGGCTACGCAGTTTACCTGTTATTTCACTTGGGTCCCTAAAACAACCTTATTCGAGTAGGAATTGTTAGTGTCACCATTTATAAGACAGGAAAACGTGTTTCTGAGAGTCTAAGTTACATGCCCAAGGTAAATGGCAGCATCAAATGTTTAAACTCAATTCTGCCCAATACCAAAACCTCGGTTCTAAAACCAGTGGCTCTCAAAACTTACGCATTGTATCAGAGTCACCTGGAGTGTTTGTTAAAAAAATAATAATAATTTGCTAAGCCCACTTCCTGAGTTTTTGATTTAGTAGGTTTTTGGTGAGACCTGAGAACTTGAATTTCTAACATCCAGGTATTGCTCTCTCTGCTACTCTTGGGACCACACTTTGAGAATCCCAAGTCTAAATCATGCAGGCAATTTTATTTTCTTTTTTAATCAAAAAAGTTACAGCTGTGCTTCATGACCAGCGCACACGTTTGAGGGATGCTATCAGTCTTCCATTCAAGATGGCAATGGGACATGGTGGGATCAAGGCTGGTCAGGAGGGTGGGCATGATGAGGAGTGAGGATGGGAGAAGAAAGACACCGATGGTAAATGGGATATACTATTAAACTGAAAGAGTCAGAGGAGGAAAGCAGTTTAAGGAGACCCAGTTTGCCAGAGAGCCCTTAGGCTACTTCCTGGTCAAATAGTGTGACTGGCCACCTGGTGTGTGCAAGGGCACCAATACCTCTGGTCAGGATTTGGCTTCCCCTTCTTTCTCATGTTGTTTGCCGTGGTTTCACTGAAGTGTAAACGTCCCAGCGTTACTTTAGTGACCTGGTCAGCCAGTAGGTCAATTCTAAAATGAACAGCAGAAACACCAAGAGATCATGAGAGAACACAGAGTCCTTGATCATATCCAATCCACTCCTTAAACTCTCAAGTGGGTCCAGTGTGCTTAGAGCCCAGGGCTCATCACACCGTGAAGGACAGTTTATTCCAACCACCAATTACTAGTCAACACTCCACAGCAGGGTCAGGAGTGGCTGCCAGGGAAGGCCAGGGAATGACTTTCAAGCCACCAAGAAATGCTTACTCAGCACAAGCTCCGCCCAGAGTTTGTGCCGCATGAGGGCTGTGCTCTCCATACACTGTGCATGGGTTCTGTTATTTTCACAGCGGGGAGGAAAGATGCCTTTCATCTGTGCTGTTGCTATAGCACTCACCTCCATAGCAAGCAGCTTCTTTAGGCTCTTCCTGAAGGCCTTGGTTTCCCGTTAAGTACTTGTCCTTCCCTAGTCTAGTGACAGGAGGCAGCCTCCTCCAAAGGAAGGCTATGCCCAGCCTGCTCAGGCAACGGAGAACCAGATGTTCCAGCCATCTGAGTCTGTTTGTCCAAGTGCCTGGTTTGTTGGTGGTAGGACCATCTTCTTCCCAGCCCAATGGGGTTGACTGAGGGTTGAAACCCTGAGCTGGTCTTGACTGCATTCCCAGCCAAATGAACCAAAGAGCAAACCCCACTCTGAATCATTCTAGAGACAGAACTCTAACTTTGGACTGCCATATTGCTATGCATTCTACCAGTGGTGCATGCTTTCTATCTTGGAATCCATTCAGCCATCTATCAATGTAGTCTTAAAAAAATAAGAAAAATGAATTGTATACACAGCTTGGATCTGGAACCTTGAAATTAATCCAATCAGCACCATGCTAATTTAAATAAAAAATTGAAAGGAAGATATAGCTATAATCTACTTTACGGAACCAAATTTATTAGTAAGGTTTTTAGTAATAAAGAATTATTTTTTAAATGGATCTTTTAATAAAGAATTTCTATACTATTTCAATGTGTTTTACCAATCTTATTTTTGTTGGTAAATATGCACTTACAATATTGACATACTATTACTAATTTAGATTCTAACAGTGAATTTCATCTTAAATAAGCAAAACAAATTAGATGATAGATCTTCCCAAAACATTCACCTAGGAATTCAGAAAAGAAATTCTTACTTAACAGGATTGAAAATCTTTTTGCTCCTATCTGCTTGGGACTGTTCAATAGCAATTATTTGATTGGTGGCTTCAACCTATATGGAACAACAAAAAGTAAATTACTTAAGGAGTTAACAAATTAATTTATTTACTAATAAAAATGTTCACTAGTAGAGAATACTTCAGTACTTAAAAAGGTCTTCAAGGCACCATGCTAGACTTTGGGCAGGGATTGTAAATTACTGGAAAAACATATAAAATCATGGTTCCTGCCTTAAAGCAGTGCACCATTGATGACACAACAAGCAAAGACCTACAAGGTTAAACAATGACAACACAAGACAACAGAGTATTTCAGGTAAGCAGTGAACACAGAGTAGGCTATAGATGGCTGAAACATCGGGAGGCAAATACAGGAGCTAGGCAGCACAAAGGCATGCATTCCTTCATTTTTTTCATCTATTCTATAAACTCTTATTGAGCACCTACTAGGTTCCAGGGACTGCTCTAAACATTAGAAATAAGAAGTGAACAAAATTAACAAAAATACCTGCTCTTGGGGAAGCTTATATTCTAATATGAAGAAACAATATAAAATATAAATAAGTAGAATATAGAAAGTGACATTTGTTCAGCACCTACTACATACTTTTTTCCTATTGCATACTTATTTTCATGAATAGTGGCAAGAGCCTAATGAAACCAGGCATGTAATATGTAGCTTGTGGGTATTTGCATTTTAACAATCTTTCTGGAAAGCAATTGAGCAGCCTACATCAAGAGTTTTCATAAGGTTCACATCTTTGATGTGTAAATTCCCTCTTAGGAATTTGGCCTCATGCAAAGCTGGGTGCATATAGATGTTCAGTGCAGTTTTATTAATAACCCTAAAAATATTGGAAGTGAGTGAAACTTCCAATAGTATAGAAATTTACATTATGCATCTCTAGGATATAAAACTGAATCATCTTTGTAAACAATATTTTATGGGGTTCTTAATAATATCATGTATTTTCAAAACATAATATTAGCAATATGAGATTCATTTAATTTTTTAAAGTTATGTGTTACTTTTAATTGTCAATGAGCCTTTATTATTTATTCATTTATTTATATGTGTGGTGCTAAGGATTGAACCCAGTGCCTCATATATGCCAGGCAAGCACTCTACCACTGAGCCACAACCCCAGCCAAGATTAATTTTAATAACAAGAAAAATTAAGCTACCAAATGATGCATCCTGAATATGAGTGAGTTTTATTTCTTCTTACATTTCTATTATGTTTTAATTTTTCTAATATGAAGAAACAATATAAAATATTAATTTATTAATATTTTACTCCACAGTAAGAAAAGTATGTTTTATTATTTATTTCCTTGTTGTTTGTATTTATTTATTTTGTTGTTGTTTGTTTTAAGAGCTGTGTTGAGAGCACAAGAGTTGATGTGTGCGTTAATCATCTTTTTATCACTGTGACAAATACCCGAGGAAAACAACTTGGAGGAAGAAAGATTTATTTTGGCTCACAGTTTCAGAGGTTTCAGTCCATGTTCAGCTGCCGTCAAGGCAGAAACCTCATGGTAGCCAGGAAGCAGAGAAAGAGGAAGGGGAGGCAGGGTGGGAGAAAGGACCAGGGACAAGGAAACATCCCTAATGGCCCCAGTGACCTACTTCCTCCCACCATGCCCCACCTGCCTACAATTTCCACCACCTCCTAGTAGTCCATTTAATTACTAATCCATGCAATCGAGTATCTCATTGGGGACGTTAGAATTTTTGCAGGTCACACCCCACTCATGGACACTGTTGCACTGAGGACCAAGCCTTCAACACATGAGCTTTTGGGAGACATTCCAGATCCCAACCATACCACTGTATTCAGTAACCAAGCCTCATTTTAGGATATCCCATACCCAAGCCCAAGCTGACCATCAGAATGAAATATGTAGATAATGAATACTCGTGCCTGCTAAGGAGCTGGCTATGAAGTGATAATTTAATAAATACCTTTTGACTGCTCAGAAGTCATACTACCTGAATTCTAAACTCAGCTCTGTCACTTACTTACTTGAATGGATTATATAACATCACCAGGCCTCAGTTTCCCCTCTATTAAACCATGGAAAAGGGACACTGTCTAAATTAGTGGTTCTTTGGTTTTTTGCAGGGATTGGGGATACTAGGGATTGAACTCAGGGGCACTCAACCACTGATCCACATCCCCAGCCCTTTTTCATATTTTATTTAGAGACAGTGTCTCACTGAGTTGCTTAGTACATCACCGAGGCTGAGGCTGGCTTTGAACTTGTGATCCTCCCGTCTTATTCTCCTGTGCCACTGGGATTATAGGCATGTACCACCGTGCCTGGCTGGTTCTTTGTCTTTTTTAAAGTCAGACTTCTCTTAGAGAATCTGGTAAAAACTACGAGTCTACTCCATATGAAAAATGCACCAGCATCAATAAGAATAAAATAATGAAGAATAAATTAAATAAAAATAAAAGTAAAAGCAGGACAAGATTTATACACTGAAAACTACAAAAACTATAGTCTGAAGTGATGCTGTGCCAGTGTCTGAGCTCAGTCTTCAGAAATTGGCAGGGTCCACTTCCTGTGTCTGGGAAAACTTATTCTTTAAACCCATTCACCATGCAGTGAGGGAGTGCAAACTATCTCTTAGAAAGATGGAGAAAAGCTAAGACCCCACAGCCACAGTCCCATTTGAGCTCCAAACTGTGGCCAGCCCAAATGTGACAGGCATGTGAGTGATCCATCTTGGAAATGGCCCAGCTGAGCTGCCCAGCAGACGACTCCTGAACAGAGTTGTCATAAAGCCAACCCTGGACCAAGTTGCCCATTTGTAGCCCAAATAAATAATTATTATTTTAAGTCAGTTTTGAGATGGTATATTACGCAGCAATAGATAAATGGAACACTTAATAAATGTTGACTGAATTACATTAAGCTAAATTTAAAAATTTACCTTAATTCCAAAAGCTTTCAAGTAAAACATTTCTATTGGCTTTAGGCCCACTTGGGTTTTAACAAATTTTGGACTTCCCCAAACTTGGATGTGAATGGTTATCTGAAAATGGTTCTTCTTTTGGCAAACAAAAGCTTCATCTGCTGGCGAGAAATTAAATCCTTTGTCTGTGACAACTTGATAGCCCACATCAGGTCTATGAAAAGAGGAATCAAAAAAACCAATTTTACAAATATTTTCTATACATTTTCTTTCACTGATGATATCAATTGTAAAAACATTTCAAGAAAATATAGTGTTGGAGGCGCCTTTTGCTATATTTAATCAATAGATGTCTTGAATTTTTACTGAGGAAATGAAAATAATCTTTCAAAACACAGTGGGCTCTCTCCCAGCTTTTTATCTTCTTCTCACAAGGAAGCAGTTCAATTATTGCCAAATAGAAGCACTGTTTCCTTAGACTCCCTATCCCTTTTGTGCTTTCTAAACCCTTAATTTGACTCCACAACACAATGCAAAGATGTAGGCGAAAAGTTGAGAAATCACCGTGTTACTAGGAATATCTGGTATAGAATTAATTTCCTTCCTCCTTTAAAAAAAAAAAAAGTCTCTTCAGCTCTGCCATCGTTACTCAAATGAGTGAATATTAAGTCCATTGGTACAGGTATGAAAAAGCAAACTGGTCAGAATTACCAGGAATAGTTTTAAACCAAAGTCATCAAATCCAGTTACTCTGCTAACTGGAAACCTGTTTTTTAATAGAGTATAGTCATTTCCTTTTTATTCTCCAATCTGGTAATAGTGCTAGAAACCTACCATAGTGACTTTCCTTGTTGAAGAAGGAATGGGATAATGCCCAGATAGTTAATCAGACTTTTGCTTTGTTTGTTTTATCATTGCTACTTTTTAATTTTTTTTTCAATTTTTAGTTGTAGATGGACACAAATACATTTATTTATTTGTTTTTATGTGGTACTAAGGATGGAACCCAGTGCCTCATACATGCTAAGCAAGTGCTCCACCAAGGAGCCACAACCCCAGCTCCTCATGCTCTTTTTTAATAGCAATCCTTTGAGTGTAAGATGTTTAATGAAATATTCTAAAAATGTTAATTCAAAGGAAACAAATTAAGTGTGTTCATTATGAAGTAGAGAGGAGAATATAAAAGTTGGTGAGTTTTTTCCCATACAGGTTGTAGATATGGAATGATTTTTAATTCAGGGTTCCTAAATATGGATTTCTTTTCTCAGGAAAGAAACTTGAGTACTACGGAACCATGAGTACTACACTACTTTGTGGATCTTTGCCTCCTGGGATCTCAGTTTGGATGGCTGCCATTATAATAACAACATAGAGTTTCTAAATTTTACTCTAGTTCCAGAAACAGAAACCATTATTGGGTTTTGCAGGAAAAGAATGTTCATGTTCTTTGTAAGTTAAGCACCTCCTCAATGGATCAAGTCACTGAGTCATTGACTACCTTCAGTAGCTAATAAGTTAAAGGCTTCACAATCATAGTGCCCACCAATAGCAAAAGGCAAATTCATTGCATGAAGAATTTGATAAACCTGTATGTGTTAGGCCATCTGCGAAATTTATATTGAGCCAGGTTTCTAGAACTAATCTGCTAATTTACACTCTAAGGCCTTGATGGATGGAATTGTATAAACTTACTATTAAGGGTAATAAAAAAAAAACTGTCTTTGTTTGAAGAAAAAAGGAATTTTTTTTTTTTTGTGATGTTCCATGCTTAACTGTCAAAAATTCTGAAAGAAGAAGGTAAGGTTTATACCCCAGACATGATCATTAGTCTGTAATTTAAGAAAGCCTGAATCAACCAACAAGAATTATACTGAAGATGATTCTGGGCCTTAAAGGCCAATCTCTGATTATAGAAATCTACCTGAGAATGCAATTATTATTTGGGGGGAGGTGTATATACCGGAGATTGAATCAGGGGCACTCAACCATTGAGCCACATCCCCAGCCCTATTTGCATTTTATTTAAAGACAGGGTCTCACTGAGTTGTTTAGCACCTCACTGTTGCTGAGGCTAGCTTTGAACTTGTGATCCTCCTGTCTCAGCCTCCCAAGCCACTGGAATTATGGGGCAATTATGTTTTTGACATCAAAAGTTAAACATCAAGTCAATTAAACTGACTTTTAAAAAACTGTTTTATAGCACAACTTTGAAACATCATTCAGAACTAAAGTTAAATACATTTTAATCCCTAACTCCATTGCTTTTACATAATTTAGGGAGATAGTTTGTAATATAGTCTACATAATTATCAAAGAAAAAACAAGTGATTTTTCTCTCTCAATGGCATGACTAGTAAAATCAAGAGAGCCTGAATTATAATCTGGATAAATTTGCTTCCTTTTTGCTTAGGAAAAGTGAGTTATGGCAAAGTATTCAAAATAAAATTGCCTCTCTACCTTTGAATTGATATCATCTCTGTTTTCCCTTTTTTCCAGTTTGTTGGAGCAGAGATAAGCAGTTCAAACAAAGTTTTAAATAAATCTCTTCAAGTAAAAAGAGAGAGATAATACCTCAAAGATCGATCAACTCAGATGCATACAGATGGAAAAGTATTAAGGGTTTTAAAAATCATGTGCCTGTGTAGGACACTATCATACATTGGTACTAATGCTTCAGAGAGAATGTGGATTGTGCCCCAAGAAAATCAAATAAAGATTGAGACTCAAAACCAAAACCCATAGCTTCATACTTTCATTTTCTGATCTCACACAATAGCAAAGATATGAAGTCATGACATTTCAATTATACAACAACTGGTGTCCTTTGCCTCCTATTAAACACACCAACTCCCAGGGCACCTAGCCACTGAACTGCATCCCTAACCCTTTTTATTGTTTTATTTTGAAACAGGGTCTCACTATGTTGCTTAGGGCCTTGCTAAATTGCTGAGGCTGGCCTCAAATGCACAGTCCTCTTGCCTTGGCCTCCCTAGTTGTTGGGATTATAGGGGTATTTAATCAATAGATGTCTTGGGATTACAAGGGTGTGCCTGTAATCACACCCTGGCTTAGGCTTTGTTTTAAGAGAAATATTTCTTCCTTCTAGTCCAACATAAACATCTTAATGATAAACTTTGCTATATTTGAATTTGGAAAATACCAGGAGGTCTTCAAGTTTGTCGCTCAATGTATCTCATTTCATATTATATTTATTACTTCAAAATCCTATTTTTTTAACCATTGACTTTTTTTTAGTGTTTCAATAAGGTATTTATAACGAAGGAAAATAACAGCAGCCTTGGGTTGATAAATTATACCCTAAGGAATAAAGAGAAGCACGTTAAAAAACAATAATGCATGAGTGCACATTTATTTTTTTAACTGTAATGTTATAAAATAAGGTGAAATTTTTCTAATTTTAGGATAATTTGTATGATTTGATTTCAGTCTCTTAATATAAAGAAACCACCAACTATGGTTGCAGGCTAAACATTCAAAATATGCAATGTGTTGACAATACTGATTTTAGAGTTGGTCATTGGATAACAACTTTATGTGACCCCAAAAATGTCTTTTGTGGTATTATAAATTAACTGCTGGACTAAAAGTTAGTGTATTGGGAAAACTCAATCTTCCAGCTTTTAGTTTAAACTGGGCATGAGATCCCAGAAAGATTCCCTCTCTCCCCAGCATTTAGTAGGTAAATTATAATGAGTTAGAGTTATAAGTCTGGGTTCTGAAGGCCAGAAGCCCATGTTCCAACTATCCTTCAGCCAGGATGCAAAACAGATGTATGACAGACACTTTCTCATTGACCCATCCCATTTGATGGGGTGACACCCAAGCCCAAATACTTGGGTTCAGTACTGAGATCCAGCACTGCCCTTCCCCCTCAGCCTCTAGCCCTCTTCCCCCCCCCCCAGGCATTGGGGAGTCCACTTACAGTTTTTCATAATGACTGTTTAATAAACTATGCCAAGGAACACTTTGGTATGGCTGCCACTTCAGGGAAGGAGAGCACTGGTCTACAGGCATCCCATTTTGTCCCTCGCCGTCAAGGTCCTGTACTTCATTGTTGTGACTCCTACCTGTCACTGCAAAGAAACAGGTGAGTTAGATTCTTCCTACTAGACTCTTCTTCCTAGACTCACAGACAGCTGCATGGCCATGTGTGAGGCAGAGTGACCTTGGGACAGGTGTCAAATGCTGGGAGGCAGGAGGCATGTTGCTGCCTGTGTCATCATCAGTAAGACAAGTAACTTGAGATCAGTGACCGCTATGGGGAGGTGGTGGACACTTGTAGGAAACTTCATCCTTAATATCAATCTACTACTTCTACCATGTGATTCAGAGAAGTCTATGTTCAGCCCTAGGAGGGTCTAAATGGATCAAAGTAAATATTTAGTAATTGCATCAGAGGTGGCCACGTGGGCTAATCCAACCCAAGCAGAGTGGATCTCAGCACTTTGGGAAATGTGGGTTCAAAGATGCTCGCTCTTTTCCATGAAGTTTGAACCCATGAGATAACATGTCCAGGAGCTGCTGGCGCCATTTTGGAACATGAGGGAAAAGCCCATCTGGGAATGAAGTTATGCCAGCAGAAGCAGTTAATAAAGAGGGGCACCTGGTCAGATGATTTGATTTGAGTTCTGCGATCCAATTGTACCCTCCTAAGTTACAGGAGCCAATAGAGCCACTGGTTTTAAAGGGTTTGTTTTGTTTTGTTGCTCTTTCTTTCTTTTGCTTTGTTGCGTATAAGGCAATTTGATGTTTTTGTTTTTGTTAATTGCAACCAATACCCTAATTTGTTACAGGTCTTGGTGGCACCAAGATTCTGTGACTTTAACCACCCTTTTGAATTTAGATGAGTTGTTTATTCACTTACTATCTTACTTCTCTCCATTGTAGAATTGAAATTAAAATGTGTGCTGCCCATCTTCCAAGATAGAGAATAAAATGATAAAGTGAAAACACTTTGAGAAGTTCAAACCAAGATAAAGTAACAGAGTTCTTGTTAGCATGTAATATCAACTCTATGAAATTGCCACTTTTGTTCATCAAAAATGGTCAAATAACAGCCTTTTCACATGATGACCACTATTTTTGAATAATCGCTGCAAGCTCTCTGTCTTAATTTGAATATGCCTCCCAAACTGTGCAATTCAACCTCAGATTGTGTTTATGTAAAATACTATTGGTACATTTTCTGTTTCCCTTTTCTTCTAACACCCCCTACCATCACTCATGCCTGACGTCAGGAGTGAAAGGGAAACAGTGGGCGTTGGTATGACCAGGTGCAGGCTGTCAGCAATAACCCAGAAATAGGACATTAACTTCTACTTAATGTGCCACTTAGCCCAGAGCTTGGGAAATGCAGTAGCAAAGGGCTGGGTTTTCTTTTGCTCATCTAACTCTTCCTTTCTTTAGGCTTCTATTGAGGTCTTCTTGAAATAAGTAAATCAATAGACCTGCTTCCAGTTGCTTTTGATCCCAAATGTCACAGAAAATGAGATTTTCTTGGAGTATCATCATCAAATGTCACCTAAGCAAAACATGTATTTTTTTGGTTTTTATAAGGCCAAATCTCCCATGTTAGAGAGATTTTGGAAAATCCGGAAAAACTTCTTCCCATCTAAGGACATTGGAGGTGGGCAAAGCTGGGACCTTTTCCTACCTTCACTCCTCCAAAAGCTACCTGGCCTAAAATCTTTTTGAAAAAGTAAATAAATAAATAAAGCCCTTCCACATTTCTGCTTCCATCAAATTCAGAGAAAGGGGGAAACCAGTGCTTCTTTCCTTCTTTAATTTCTCCTACAATGGAGAGAAGGTCAACGAAGATTCAAAGGGTTTGAATCACAACTTTATACCTAATGGCTGAACGTTCCTAAGAAAATGATTTAAGCTCTCTGAGTTTCCATGTCCTCATGTGCAAAGTGAGAATAGCCATATATACCTCCCAGGGGTGGTGTAAGAATCCCATGAGGGAACAATGTGAAGTGCTTAGTCCAGCAACTGCCACCACAGCATTTAAACAACACTGCCTTTGGATATGAGTGTCCCTGTCATTATCACCTATACTTGTTGCAGTGAGGGGACTCAGATATGCTTGGGAAATGCTGCTTGGCCTCCACATAACTCTATGTAACTATTGGCGGTACTTGGCCACAAACCAGCTAACACAGCCAGCTTCCTACTCAAGCCTGGCAGCAAGGTCAATGTGCCCAGGTACATGGCCAAAGGCCAGCTCCACTCCTCCAGACACTGATAGGGAGGGTGGTCAGGGGACTGGGACTATTGGCATCATCCTCAGAAATCATAGCACTTCCTGCCCTGCCTAACACAACAGCAAAGGTTTCAAAACAGTAAAAGTGACACAGTCATAGCTTTCCTGTGAACTGTTTATCAACTGGTAAGGCCCCAGGGACCACAGGCCCACACTGAAATTCCAGACAGAAGCTGAGCCTAATGCTGGGACTTATTATTACTACTAACAATAATAGCTGCTACTCTGGGTGATTTCTGTATTCATGCAAGGTCCCAGACATTTCACCTAGTATTTCACCAGCTCCTAAAGTCATCTCCAAGGTGAGGATCCTTTTCTTTTTCAATAAACTTTTTTTTTATCTGAGTATTTTACATATAAAGAAAAGTACACAGATCATGAGTACACAATTTTATTTTCTTATGAAATGAATTCTGTGTAATGACCATTTTATCAAGCAACAGGTTGCTTCCAGCCCTCTAGGAGACCCCCCCCCGCCCAAAGCCCTTCTTCCAGTAAGTAATTTCTCCTGTCAAAAACTGATAATTGTCCTGAAATCTAACCGTACAGAGGAGTTTATAGAAATGGAATAATACAATATGATATGTTCTATTCCAGGTCTACTCTCGGGTTGGCAGATATGCTTGAAGAGAGGCCACCAAACATTTCTAGAGTGGTTGTGAAGCAAGGTTTCTTAATCTCATTAACCAGAGTAGAAACTGAGATTCTAAGTCCTGACAGCATTTGCCCGTTGTCACAGCTGCTAAGTGGAAGAGCTAGGGTTCGAACACTCCTCTGCCCTTCATGTAAGATCTCTTGTGAAAACCTAACACAGAGAGAAACAGAAGTGTGAAGGCAGCAAATGCCTGAGTCCCACCCCGTGGAGGAAATGGAAAGCTTGCCTCTGACGTCTTTCAAAATATTGTGTGTACTTTGCTCTAAACAAATCTCTGAGATAAGTGGAAATTATAATTATCATTCGATAATCAAGAAAGATTATCTGAGAGTTCCCAGATGCCAGAGAGATGAGACAGGCACTTTCCTGATTCTAGAGGGTGAACACAGCCAATGTACCTCTCATCATGGGCCAACGGCTCTGGCTTTGGAGCTGGAAACCCCCTTCACATTTGAGGATCAAAATATAAGAAAGCTGAAGCCTCTCAGGGAGACCTTGAACCTCTTTTATTTGGTTGAGTGAGGCCAAGCACCAGCTAACAGGAGCCTGCCTACCAGTGGTTTTCTCTCTAAGCAAGATTTTACATCTGCTCCTACCAACCCAGGAATTCTACATTCAGACCTCAATAAATGGGATCTTAGAACCCTTGGCCAACATGTACCTCTTAGGAAAAGATCCAGAAAAGCCTAAATGATTGATTTAGAAATCTCCCATTAATAATTGGCAAACTTTCTGCTGCTTATAAGACTGCAGAAGTTCCCCCCTTCCTCTCTTACTGTGTTCTTTTCCCAGGACCTTGTAAAAACTCCTATCCTCTGCAACATCAGTGGGAGATCTCCACTAAAACTTGGGCTAAAAATATAAACTGTAATGAAAACATGGCATTTGGATTAACTAAGTCTTTGCCTTTGTCTCCCTGCCTCCCTCTGGCCCTGGGAACCTGCTCATTTTCATTCTTGAACAGTTGTCTGGAACCAATTATCTTTAGTCAGCCTTTTTACTGACCTTTAAATGGGACTTCAGGGTTTCCTATGTGTTGAGACATTTCAGTTACTCTCCCAGGACTTGAAGATGGTAAAAAAAAATCAATGCCCTGTCTGGGACGGGCAGCAGAAAAACCATCACAGGATGGAGCTTAACTCTGGGAGTGGCCAGAGCAACAATCCAGCCTGTTGAGGAAACTCCTGGAAGGTTTGAGTGACTTGCCCCGTATCCCCCAGTGAGCTGGTGCATCTGGAGGAAAGTGAACAGATGGTTCCCTTGTCTGGCTAGGAATTTGTTCAGGCTTTATGTTTAAGAATCACAAAGAAGCTGCAGGCTAGATGCAGGGATCCCTGAAGAAACTAGGGTATCCTTGCTTAGGAAGGTGGACAAAGAGCTCTATGTCATCAAAAGGTGGGGCTTTACTTAGCATTTTGTTTTTCTAGGAGGGAGGGGTTAGATGTCAGTTATGGTGGATCCATGTAAAAGGTGGATCCATGTAAGAGGTTCACCTTTTACAAGGCTGGGTACCCAGCGCAGTCATGACATAGCACTCCCAGGGAATGGTGATATGTGGGATTTGGCTGAGGGGGTGACATCATTGTCCACTGAAGGACCCCCACAGCCCACGCTGAAGCTGAAGCCAGACATCCCTGAAAGGACCAGCTCCAACCAGGGGTGGCTAAAGACAAAGGAAGCAACTTCAGGTGGTGAGAAAGCCACCTTTCAGAGTGGTGTAATCCTCTAGAGCTCAGGGACAGGAGTAGGAGTAGGAGCCCCAAGAGGAAAACTTGTTGTCCTGGCCAAGATGACTCATGGGGAGAGAAGAGATTCCCAATCCCTGAATTTGGGGCACCGTTCACACTGCCTGCATATGAGCATTTACAGTAGCTAATAAATTTGGCCTGGAGTATTATACTTTTCCCTAGCAAATGCTATGGCAAATGCTAAAGAAAATTCTGAAAGTTCAAGTCCTTAGACTCCCAAAGACCAGATTGTTCCCAACTTGATCAGGTCTCTAAGCTCAAAGCATAATGCATCACATTTTAGATTTAAAAACAAAACAAAAAAAAAACCAAGCTGACCACTTGGGCCTCAGATGGAAGACTTCTAAGATGATTTTACATAACTTCAAAGATCAATCAGAAACCTGCCAATGTGGTTTGAGTGCAAAGAAAGTTCAACTCTCCATTTTCCTTCCACTGGAGAAATACTCTAAAGTCTTGCTTTTTGGAAGGTCATCTGTGAACCCATAGTATTGGCTTCATCTGGGTACTCAGGTCTCAGACCCCAGCTCAGATGGATTGAGTCAGAATCTTCATTTTACCAAGACCCCTGGGTAAATCTATGCACATTAAACTTGAGGAGAACTGCACTCAAGAAAGCAGTGGGCACACCAGCAGGCCTGCAGCCTGTCTTCTTAGACACATTGTTCCTGAAATTGAAAGACTGGCATTTCACTTGCACCAGAAGGTCAACCTTTCCTGGGAGCACTTATGTGACCCCACCTGCATGAAGAACATCAAGAAGGAAGAAATTAACTCCCAGAGCCTATCATTGTCCTCCGTGAGAGAGAACATAATTTTGTAGGATTGCTCAAAGGTTTGTAAAAAGCTTTGATCCAATGGCTAAGACACTGAGGGCTTTGACTTTGTCACAGCCAGATTTTCTCACATGGTCTGGAGTGGTGGGCCCACACTCTGCAGTCCTCTGAGTCATCCAATATCTGTGTGTACTTTCTCTTCTTGGCTGGAGGCAACGAGGCTCTAAAATCAAGGAACCAAAAGGGAGGTTAGGCTTCTTTGCTCAACATGTTACATTAAATCCCATTTAATTTCCCAGGTCTCTACTCTGGACTTTCCTAAGTCTAATGCCTGTTAGTTAAGATGACTTGAACCCTACTAGTCTGAAACTTAATTTTGTTTTATCCAATGACCCTGACATTTTTTCCCTGAAAAAAATAACCTTACAACTTTCAAAAGGCAGAGGACTCAGAGACTTCAACTACAGGTGCAGGTTTTACACCTGAGCATGTTTTCAATGTGGAGTTTTACCACGATTTTTGATAACTCTTCCTCTCTCTGCCACCTTCTAGACCCAGAAGACGGAATAAAAAGGAGAAAAGCAAAAGAAAAGGATATTTCTTAATGTTTGATTGACAGTTTTCTGAGAGCTCATTTACAAATCCCCTTGAGTCGTCTGGCTGAGCCTGCGTAAGCACACGGCTCCTTCCGCTACCTGGAATCTTCCTATAGATTTCTGACATTTCAGCTTTTTGTTGAATGAGGACCTTGGGTTTAGTGGGTTTTTAATTAAAAGACTTTCTAAGCCAAGAACCCGGGCCCCGCCGTGGCCTATCTGCGTCTCAACACTGCCATCTGCTGGAAAGGCTCGGGCTGCCCGTTCTCTACGTCACAGGGCAGCGGGCTGCTCTGAGGCTTCCTGCGAGGTCTCTTGTAACTAAATATCTTGAGCTTTACCCGGAGACGTGGCACAACAGCAGCTGCTGATGGTGAGAACAACTTGTCCCCAGATGGGAAGACCCGGATTGGTCCTGAGCTGGATGACCCGTGTTTGGGTAGCAGTTGTGAAAGCTGCCCGGGGTTCGGCAGGAGTCGCTCCTTGCAGACGTGCTCGGGTGCGCAGGCAGCATCCCAGGGGCAGCTGCAGCTCCTGAGTGGAGGAAGGTAGCTCGATTCTGCACAACTGCAGGCCTCAGGGTCCAGGAGCACGCGCCTAGGGGAAGACACAATCAAGGGCCTAGTTTTCTTGCTATTCTGAGTCCAAGAATAGGAACAGCACAAGATGTGCGGCAGGTGGGTCGCACTCACCTTTGACCTGCGGAGGAGAGCAGGGGTCTGATGCAGAATAGGGTGGGGTATCTGGGAGCTGGCGTTGCCTGAGGATTAGAGACATGGGTTGCTTTTGTTTTGTTTTGTTTTACACTATTCTATGATACTTTTGTCAAGAACAGAGGCAGCCCTCAGTGAACAGAATCCACGTGATGGTTCCAGGTGAATCCGGGGGTTGAGGAGCAAAGCCCATCAGAACATGCCCAGTGTCCTGTGTCGTGGCTAGGTGACCCGGGCTTTGAGTTCCAGTTTTTGTACTCCCTAACTGTGTATCCATGAACAAGTACTTAAGTTCTCCAAGACTCCATTTCCCCACCTACAAGACAGCACCAATTATTACACCTGCTTCACAGTGTGGTTGTGAGAATTGAGATGATGTCCCTAAAGCCCACGACATAATACCGGGAACAGAACCGGTGTTCAAGAAAATTTAATGAGTGTCCTTTTGTTCTGAACATGCTTACACCATAAAGAGGGCTGTGCACACTGTTGGGGTTAATGCCATTTTTTTGCAGTGGCTTTCCATCTATATCTGAGGAATCCCAAAGTTTTTGGAAGGAGCTCATAGATTTTACAAAAGAACATTTTGTAAATATTTCTGGTGGGAAAATAATTACTTTTTTCTGTTTTATATATCAAGGTGAAGTGCAATTTCATTTTTCACCATGAAAACCTCTGTTATGAAAGACCTACGGGTTCCTTACAGTCAAAACCTCTTATTCTACCTCTCACACAAGCATCACCACCTCTGCTAGATTCTCTTACTTGAAGAGTAAGCTATATTGTTTTTCCCAGTTGATTAAGATTCCAGTAAAATACAAAGAGAAAAGTTTGTTTTTACCATTTACTAGAAAAGTTGACTCCTCCAACTGATTCCTTATTATTTATTTACTCCCTACTAATAAGGGATGAAAAAATATACATTTACTTTCCTCTAAAACACCATCCAAATAAATGCAAATACAGAAGCATAAACACAAAAGGATATAGAGAACTTGAATAGAGACCACAGCAGACCATATTTAAAAAATAGGGTAGTGGACAAATAGGATGGGTGGGAAATGAATTAGCAGAATGGAAAAAAGCAAAAAATAAAAATGCCTGGAGATGGGGAATGACATGGGAGTCAACGATAAGTAACCCAATCAAACAGGACTCCAAAAAGCCCAGGACACTGGAGGTACCTGGAGCCTCTTAAGTAAGGGATAAGAGTGAGGCTGAAAACAGAAAGCTTAGTTGAAGTTTTGATTAAGAAACAATTGGGCTTTTAGATCAGCTTCCCCACCCATCACCCCAACATAAGTTGAAAAGGTTTATTCTTTGGAGAAATGGAACCAGGGACACAGTAGTACAAGGTGACCAGGCACAGTTAAGACCAGCTGCTGGCTGAATATGAAGGGATGCATTAAAAATCTAAATGCAGCCAAGCACAGTGGCACAGGCCTATAATCCCAGTGGGTTGGGAGGCTGAGGCAGGAGGATCACAAGTTCAAAGCCAGTCTTAGCAACTTAGTGAGGCCCTAAGCAACTTAGCAAAACCCTGTCTCAAAAGATAAAAAGGGCTGGGGGTGTTGCTCAGTGGTTAAGTGCCCCTGGGTTCACTCCCTGATACCACCACCAAAAAAAATCTAAATGTAGAATTGTGAGACCCTTCCTCAATTCTGCTTTGCATGCATCCAAGCAGACTTCCCAAAAAAGAAATTAGAATACCATTCTCAAGAAAAATTATTCAGGGAGGGAAGAAAATATTTTGAAGTTACCAAGGAATTTGCTAGCCCTTATCTGATCACTCTACACTGAAATCCATCCTTTCATAATAATGGTGAGCACACAGAACTTCTTAAACAAGAACAAACATAAAAAACCAGATATTTTCAGAAAGCCTTTAACCCTAAAGACAGAGAACCAACAACTAGATAAATACGAATGCAAAAGAATCAGCAGGGATTGTGGCTCAGCAGTAGAGCACCCTGGGTTCCATCCCCAGCACCACATAAAAATAAATAAATTAAATAAAGGTGTTGTGTCCAACTACAACTGAAAAATAAATATTAAAAAAAAAAAAAAGAATCAGCAACTGCTGATATGGCTCCTACCAGACCTGATTTTCCCTGAAAGGGGGAAAAAACTATTAAAAAAAATACTGCCAGGCGTGGTGGTACGCGCCCATAATTCCACCAGCTTGAGAGGCTGAGGCAGGAGGATGGAGAGTTTAAAGCCAGCCTCAGCAACCCAGTGACACCCTGTCTCTAAACAAAATACAAAAAAGTGCTGGGGATGTGGCTCAGTGATTGAGCACCCCCCTGGATTCACTCCCCAGTACCAAATATATATATATATATCCAAAGACAATGGAAAGTGGAAAAAAGAGCAACAAGACTCTGGAGGAGAATTGAAATTTTGAAGAAGGCAATGGCAGAGAGTGTGTTACCTGGTTACAGCTTTTTGCCTGAAGGCTGATCAATGTTAGAACATAGAATAGATAAAACATCAATAAAAACCCACAATTATTCTGGCCTGAAGAACAAGAAGACAGAGTTTGGGACAGTCATGGCTGGTGAAAAAAAAATTGCAAGGGAAATATTGGAAAACAGAGGTACAGAAAGAGGGAATCTGGATTCTGTGCGTAACTGCCCAAATCTCTTGCTAAGCCGAACTATGGATATGTGTGTGGGGCAGGAACAGAAATGTAGGCTACTTCCCAAGAGACCGTTTATGGTTTGAGTCTAAGCAAAGCAGTTGCCTACTAAAACAAGAAATTCACTCTTCAGAGAAATATGAAAGAATCCCTGTGTTCCGGGTCAGCAGTGTATATCGATGGTTTTAAAATCGAGATTTAAAAATTTTATCTTTTCCTTATAATTTACTCTCCAAACTTAACCACAGCTTCTTTTTTATTTCATGGTAATTTAATCCTTTCCATTCTCAATGCAATTTAATATATTTAAAGAAATTTTGCAGTTCTTTTCAGAGAATTTGAAGGAAGGATTAATGATAGTTTCCTTCAAAACTAAGCAAACTGTTAAAATCAAGGGTGTTGATGAACCTCAAGAAAAATGCTGTTATTTGAGATTGTTCTGCCCTGCTGAGTCCTCTGGACTCAGACTCACAACCATCGTGCTGAGTCTTGCACGTGTAATCTCGCCTCCTCTTTACAACCTCCATGTAAAAGGGTACTGTTATTGTTTCTAATCCACAGGTGATGAAACCCAGGTTAAGATTATTCATCTGGCACTACTCTCCAGTAGTCTCACTAGAGACGGGGGTTCATCACCAGAGTTTACCCCCTAAATATCAGGATGTAAATGCAGACCATCCTAATTCAATTAATTATTACAGGTTATTTTGTTTTGCACAAATATATCCTTAGAGTGGAGGAATACAGGGTAATGCATTGGCCCAATCTTTCTCTTTCTATATCAGTTTGAACCCAGGAGTCAAGTCAGCCAATGAACTCAGCTGTTAACAAGTTCTTCTCACAGAACAACTTGTACCTCATGCCCTCTTGCAACATCACATTAAAGAGCTTATTGGCGCTCTCCACAGGTGGCAAAATTGAGACATGCGGCTGGTAATCAGCTCCTAACTCTTTATGTCATCCAACCCCAATAAGCCAGGTCCTAAGTAAAATCCTAATATCAGATGCTGAAGCTCATCCATTAGGACAAAATAAAATGAAACCTAGAGCAGATTCCTTCATGATTTCATGTGTCTCTACATAACTCCTTCTTAGGAAGTCACCTATTCAAACACCCTCCCCCCAGGTAACTCAGTGTACTCAATTGGTTCCCTCTTACCCTGTATGTAGGGCCTCAAGGCCAACCTAAATCTCATTAGGATATCGACCCCCATCCAGCATACTTAAGCAAACCAAACTACTAATTATACATGTGCTACATATCCTTTCTACCTGTCATTGACAGTGATTCTGTAAGATTATACCCACTAAAGACATCGTAGCAACCTATGATGCTCAAATTTTCCTGTGCGTGATTGATGTGAGTATACCCCATGTTGTTACCACAGTGAAGACCTCTCCTAACAATGCAGTTCTTGGAATGTATCCCCAATGTTAAGTGATATGTGACTGTATTGGCTTGGAACTTGAGAGGTGGGCAAGGGAGGCGTGTTCATGTGACCTAATGCAGAGCTTCTTAGACCATAATGTGGATATGAAACCCACAGAAATCCTGTCAAAATGTTGATTCTGATTCAGCGTTTCTGTGTGGGGCCTGAAATGCCACAATTTTAGCACCCAGGAGATACCAATGCCACGGCTCTCTGGCTCCTACTTTGAGTACAGGAAAGCAGCAGGTGAACTCTGGGCAATTTTTTTTTCCCCAAGGAAATGAAGCCTGTCTTGCATAGCTGCTAGCCTTTTTTTTCCAGAACTTTCCTTTCTCTACACACTCTCTCACACACAATCTTGTGTATTTTCCACTGCACCCTCTGGAGTTTTATGCTGCTCCTTACATTTCTTGCTCCTTCTTTCCAAACAGCCTTCCACATCTGGACACTTCCCAGGCTATCCCATCACTCCAGCTCACCTATGAAGAGTTATGGAAAATAATAATCCTACAAAACAACCCCCAAAGAGAAGCTGAGAGATAATGCAGCTCAGGAGGAGGGAGTGGAAACTAGCCAAGCATTGACCTTCCAGTAAATCCTTTCCTGATAACATCGGGTGAATACTGAATATTAGGCTCTGCACTTTGACCTTCCCCCATTGCAAATTAGTCCTATTTATACACAGTAAATACTGAACAATAGGCCCTGAAGGATGGAGGCAAATACTGAAACTCTGGAAGATAATAAATTCCAGAAGAAGAAATACCCACCCTTACAATCTGGACTCCTATCTCTCCAGGTAACAATGAATTTCGACCTTTTACAGCTGCCCTCCTGAGTCAAAAGTTTTAACCTTCATAACTAGCCCCTGACTGTCCAAACAGCACACCCACAAGTTCCAATGATGAAACTCCCTAATTGTTCCCTATAAAACCAAAATCCCCTCTGTAATCGATGGCCATTTTCGCATCCAGAAAAT